CACTTTGATTCCTAGACTAAGTCCCAGTTCATGCTGGTGCGAAAAACCCGATAACTCTTGTTACCATCCGCTTTGTTGCTCATTAAAAAAATCCCAATACACCGCAAATGAATGTTCTTCCTTTTCAGTTTCCTTTTCTCCCCATGGTGAATATCAACTACTTTCATCAACTCAAAACCTCCTATTAAATTATTGGAAAAGTTCATTGAAGTAATCCTCAAATTCATTAGCGCGTTTCTCTTCTCCATTATCAACGCCTGCTTGCCCGTCATGTCTCCACATTCTCTCTTCGAGGACCTGTAAAAATGTCCCCTCCAGGGATCGAACCTGCGCCACCCCCACCTTCAGAGCTTCCTTGTCGTTCTCATCGACATCATCAGCATCCTCACTACCTTCAACAGGCTCTTCCTTGACCCGACTATCTGAATACAAAACGTCACCCGAAGACCCTGGGTTCGAATCCCAGGCCCGTCAAAATGCAAGTAGAAAACACAACATAACGCATCCACTTCATTGATCTTCCTATACGAACTGTTTTCCTCAATGAGAAACTCCAAATTCAAATTCGTGCCCATCGAAAAATGTCGAGCACAATGTGACACATCCGAAGATAGAAACGGTACATCTACTCCAGACGTAGAGCACCTGTCCCTCCTTCCCTGAGACCTCCAGTTCAATTCCCACAACCGACATGATAATTTCAACCAACACTACCTTCCTCAGTGATATCAATAACAGCATCGTCTTCCTCATTTTCTTCCTCATCCTTTTTAATACGGAATTCCCTTCCTTTTTTCTTAGCCCGCCGTATCCACTTCCAATTCAACTTTATGCTACATTGATAACACAACCGCACCTGATAAATGTGAGGGGGAAAATATGAAACTACATATCTTGGTGACAGTATGAAAATTCCGAGGAGGTTCTCATTTTTTCCAAGATATTCCTACCCTAATCCGTATGTAAACTTGTATAATAGCTCAGCCAAGAAAAGCGAACATGTATTTTCGAGCGGCCCGTTTCCACCATTTTTCACCTTCACCAACTCCCTCTTCCGTTGGCCATGCTCCTTATACGAAAAATCAACTTCAAACGTTCGCAAATGCTGTGTAGAGTTACATCGCATGTTTGCGCATCTGATAACAAACCTTCATTTTAAGGAAGATTCATAAAAACCAGAAATTTCACAAACCTAGTTTTTCGTTCGTTATTATGCAGTGCCTGCCAATTTGATATGCAAATGTGCGTTATTTTCCGATAGTAATGAGAATCGCTCTGGAACTATCTCGCATATACACTGGAGTTTCACCACCCTAGTGATATGAAAAACACATTTCACAACTACTGCATATCACCGCGGAAATCGCGTTTTTTCACCGA